AACCCTAAACCCTAAACCTTCCGGCTTCCGTATTGGGACTGGCGGGTCGGCGGAGGATGGCGGATTCGCCCCCCGAATTAAGGGAAACTACAGGTGGGGAGTTTAAGGTTAGGGTTTAGGGCTTTAGGGTTTAGGTTTAGGGTTTAGGGTTTAGGGTTTATGGTTTAAGGTTTAGGGACTGCAGGTGGGGAGTTTACGGTATATAGGGCTTCTATAAGGCTTCTATAAAATATATAGACCTTCTATAAGGCTCCTATAACGGTAGCTACCCACCTGAAAATGTCCTAGACTGAAGTTCTCCATGGCAGGTGGGCAAAATCTTAGAAATGGGTTTGGGGCTTCTTTGGGTTTAGGGCTTACAAAGGGTTTAGGGTTTGGGGTCTAGGGCTTATGGGGTTTAGGGTTTATAGGGTTTACGCTTTTTGGGGGTTAGGGCTTCTTAGGGTTTAGGGCTTATGGTGCGATATGGTATAGTGCTTCTTACCCCCGAAGTTCTCAATGGAAGGTGGGCGAAATCTTAAACGGGTTTAGGGGCTCTTAGGGTTTAGGGCTAGGGTTTAGGGTTTAGGGTTTAGGGTTTAGGGTTTAGGGTTTAGGGTTTAGGGTTTAGGGTACGAACCCTGAACCCTAAACCTTTGCACCTCCAGCGAAACCCTAAACCCTAAACCCTAAACCCTAAACCCTAAGCGAAACCCTAGACCGTCCCAAGCCGTATCAAACCGCAGACCCCAAGTCAGTACGAAACAATCTGCGGGACGGGACCCGTAGCCTCAAAGAAACCCTCAGGCCCGAAACGACAAAAACCCTAAACCCTAAACCTTGCAAAGCCCGGCTTTGGGGGCACATTATACTGTAGTTATAAAGAGGAACCCCACACGATAGTATTGGTAATTATTTCGGCCCCTAAATTGAACCCCAAATCCACAAGCACAAACCCTATAACGCTTAAACACTAAAGCCCAAACCCTAAACCCCAAACCCAAAAATCCCTAAATCCTAAACCCTAACGCCCCAAACCCCAGTTCTAGTGCCGTTCTAGTACCCTGCACCTCCATCGAGAAGAGTTCCAGGTAAGTCTCCTACTTCTGTGGCGTTTCAGGATGCTTACCAGGCTTTCAATGGTTTAGGGTCCAGGGTTTAGGGTTCAAAGTTCATGGTTTAGGGATGCAGTGTTTAGGGTTCAGGGTAATATTCCGCACATCATGTTCCCTAAGGGTCCAAGTACCCAAATAGTAGGGTTTCAAGGTCCAAAAACCATTCAGAGTATGGATTTTTGGACCTGAAACCTTACTATTTGGGTACTCGGACCCTCTGGGGTGGGGCTTTCTCAGCCTTTCACGCGGCCTCTGCGAGCCAGCTTTGAAAGGAAGCCGAGATTTCTGCTTGGATTTTATCGGGCTCTTACGGGCTGTGATAGGGTTTCGTTGGGCGTTAAAGGGTTTTACCACCGGTACACCTCAAGGACCAAATGACCCATGAAAATAAGGGCCCTAAACCCTTGTACTCTGAACTCCTAAACCCTAAACCCTAAACCCTAAACCCTAAACCCTAAACCCTATAAACCCTAAACCCTATAAACCCTAAACCCTAAACTCTAAACTCTAAACCCTAATCTGAACCTCAGACCCTCCTCGGGTTCATTTAGGGTTTGGGACTCAGGGTTACTCAAAGGCTTCTGTAGTAGATACTTAGGCCTTAAAGGGGTCCCTATATTGGTACTTTAAGGCTGAAGTATCTACTATATGGGTACATGGAGCCTAGGACCTTCTGCCTTCGGATTTGGATCATCTAGAGACTTTAGTAATTTATTAGGGTTCAGGGTCCGGTTGCATTTACGGGGTCTAGAACAAGGGTTACTATGTAGTATGGGGTGTAGTAGAAAGCCCCTGAATAATCCGAACAAGGTTTCGGGGTACGTAACTATACTGGGTTGTGATCTTAACGCACCCCTTAATCTGACGTGAAGTGCCACTGCATCTCTTGTCTAAGATGACCCTACCCATAGGCCCCATAGTAGTTCCTTTTTGTGGCTTATATTTAGGATTCTACTAGTGAATCCCAAAAAGGAACTACTATGGAGCCTATGGGTACACCCTGAACCCTAAACCAAGTGAGGCCGAAAGGATAACGGCAGAGTTTCAGTCCAGAGCAACAGCTCAGGAAACTCTGCACTCCCAAGACCTCCACGGTTCCACCTGCTGGCATTGATGTTGGAATATCCAGACGTCTGCCATGTATGAAAAAATTGAGACTCAAAGGTGTGGAAGGGGATCCGAGAGAGCGCGCAGTATGAAACCCTGAACCCTAAACCCTAGCCCCGATAGAAGGTAGGTTGAGGCCATGGTCGTCCCCCATGATCAGGCAGTAAAGACTCGCGGGTGTCGTTACTCCCCATCCGTCCGAAGTCTTGATGCCCAGGGTGTGAAAGGCCAAGTGGTCATTGTTCCTTTGCGACCGCAAGTACCCAGCGCCGAGACGATAAACATCGAAGCTCGCCGCAGCTTGAATCTGGTGGCCTTGCAAAACGAAGTCGTGCCACTGCCACCACCACTGGTTCAACAGCTCCAGGCCCGGGCATTCCACGTCCATGGCGAGGTGAACAGCGTTTGCACGCCGAGAAAGTTCGTCTTCCGCTGGTTGCCGCCGAGACCCTGCGGGCTCGGCTCAAGTGGCGGTCGTACCATAATAGTTGCCAGACCCAAATTCAAGCCAACACGCGTCCCAAACTAACACCTGAGATGATCCTAGACCTCTGAAGCCCTCCCTAAACCCTAAACCCTAAACCCTAAACCCTAAACCCTAAACCCTAAACCCCAAAACCCCTAAACCCCTAAACCTCTAAACCCTAAACCTGAAGCCCTAAATCCCTTCACAAGCATAACCAAAGGAGTTGGTTGGGTAGCGTGGACATTTAGGATGGAGTGCTCTAAAATCCCACACACTTCCCTGTTCGCTTTGGACGCTTAGGTCTTCAAAAACTTAAACGTAACCCTTGAAAGAATCCTGAAACGCATCCTCATAATGTAGGGGCCTTAGTAATTAGGATAGGGTTTTGGGGTGTGTTATACTATATTTATAACAAGGACCCCCAAAAAATAGTCGAGGTATTTATGAATAAGGGCCCTATACTATATAGGAACCTCGAAACTCGGCAAAACCCCGGAAGCCTGATACAAAGCCCTTTGGAGCCCTGCAGAGACTTTGAAAGGTGCCCTACACCCAGGAGGAGTTACTATTATGGCTTGGGTAAGTATCCCCATATGTAATATAAGGCCTTGAATATTAGAAGTATACTATATTCGAATTATGATAAGGAGCCGCCAAAACCTTATTCTAATGATTAAGGCCCTTACATGATTATCATCATTATTATGGCATTATGGCTTGGGTAAGTATCCCCCATATATAAGCAGCTGGGACCCTTTGGGTGTGGCGCCCTGTAAAGCCCTAAACCCTGAACCCTTAGGCTTCTGGACCCTTGTAGTGAGATTACAAACCCTAGCCCCCAAAGCCGAAACCCTCCACCAGAAAGCCCAAGACCCTCTTAGGAGCCTTAGGGTAAGCCCTAAACCCCTCCCCAAAAAGCACTACAATGGAGACTCTAGGAACGCCCAGGAGGGAGGAGGCCTCATTCAGGCGCAGCTTTCCGAGGACGCTAAGGCACTTCGTCAGGAGCTCGGGGGTAATCCCGCGAACCTTCGGCGGATGTCCATTAAAGGCGGTTAAGGGTTTAGAGGTTCAGGGTTTAGGGTTTCGGGTTTCCAGTGAACGGGTTTAGGGGCTTAGGCTTTCCATGAAAGGATTCCTGAAGGGCTTTTCAAGGGCTCGAAGAACGTTCCGTCAAAGTTCTTACGAGGTCTTGAGGAGCCTTTGATGGCCTCCAGAGGGGTGTAGAAACCGCTTAGGACATCCCAGAAAGTCCAAAATACCAGCGGACCAGTGGTTTGGGTTTAGGGTTTAGGGTTTAGGGTTTAGGGTTTAGGGGTTTAGGGTTTAGGATTTAGGGTTTAGGGTTTAGGGAGAGAGTCAGGACATCAGGGCAACCCTAAACCCTAAACTAAGCGGCTTGAACTCGCCTCTATTCCTTGGCAATGCAAGCTCAATGTGATGAGCCGAACCCATGAACCAGGCTAGGGTTTAGGGTTTAGGGTTTAGGGTTTAGGGTTTAGGGTTTAGGGTTTAGGGTTTAGGGAGAGAGAGCGGGAGCGCGAGCGCACAAACAAAACAAGGGAGGGTTTCAG